TTCTCGCTGAACAAGGAAACACCTGACCGGCTGAGGGGTCAGTGAACTCAGAGAAGGAGCCAGAGGGGACCCACTCCATCGCCCGCCTGGAGGTCAGAAGGCCACAGCGATGCATCCTGGGAAACGGAATTTTCCAAGGTCTCCACGGACACTCAGTCCCACGGCCAAACCTCCCAGAGTTCGGGGAGCCGGGAGGGCTCTGCCGCTGCAGCGTGGGGCCCCCATTCTCGCGGACCCGGGAGGCCCCTGTGCCTGTCACTGTGGCCATGTCCCCGTTTACCCTGCAGAGAGGTTGCAGGAGCTCACGCCCCAGAGATCTCAGAAGAGACAAACCTCCAGAAAGGCTTTTGTTCAGGGGAGTGGGGGCCCGCCCTTTCCTCCGCTGCCTCCGGGGGGTGGCCTTTCTTTCCTTGTGAGGGAAACTGAGGCACAGAGAGGCCGGGGGACGTTCTCTTCGTCCTGCGGACCTCGCACTGTCCACGCTGGTGACGTGCAGCCCCGGTGATCCACACACAGCCGAGCTGTCGTCTCCCCGGCAGCACCCTCCCTGGCCTGACCTGACCTCGATCTCTGCGTCCTGCCCCGGGCTGAAGGGGCAGTGCCCGCGGCACAATGAGTGCACGGTGAGCGCACGAACCCGTCACCACAGAGGCCACCGGGCTCTGCCGGGAGTGCCGTCCTGGGACGGGCCAGCACCTGCTGCCCGGCGGGCACTTGGTCTGGGGCCTCGCCCCGCCCTGTCAGTCCTTCTGACTCGTCCTGGTGTTTTTAATTTGCTATTTAATGGGTGTCTTTTTAAAAATACATTTTTATTTCTTTCAGAGAGGAAGGGAGAGAGAGAAAGATCAGTGATGAGAGAGAATCATCAGTGGGCTGCCTCCTGCATGCCCCGCACTGGGGGCTGAGCCAGCAACCCAGGCCTGGGCTGGGAATTGAGCCATGACCTCCTGGTTCATAGGTCGACACTCAACCACCGAGACACACCAGCCAGGCTAATGTGGTTTTAAGTAAAAAATAAAAATTTACATCATTGGTATTCTGAATGAATGCTAATCAAGTTAATAATACTAATAAAATAATAAAAATTTTGAGTTTTATTCTTCATATTCCATTGTGTGACGCCAGTTTTAAATGCAAAGCACTGAGCTCACACGAGGCCTCACCAAGGTCACAGAACGTGTGTCCTATAGTGTGTACAGCAGACGCACTCTGTTCTCACCAGAGCAGCGAAAAGACCGAGAGGTGGATAGTAAGACGGTTGTTGTCATTGTGGTAAAATACAAGCAACACACTTTACAGCGTGCGCATTCCTAAGGGGGCGGTGCATTCGCACAAGAGGTCACACTGCTGTGCAATCAACACCACCTTCCACTTCCAGAACCTTCGCCTCTTCCCAGTGGACACCGTCCATGAGGCACCGCCTCCCTCCCCTCCCGCAGCCCCTGGCTCCCAGCATTCCCTGCCTCTCCGTGACCTTGACCTCTCTCGGTGCCTCAGCACAGGGAACCTGCAGTCTCTGTGCTCTGGAGACTGGCTTCTCTCAGCACCTCCTCCGGCTCCTCCACCTGCAGCAGGAGTCAGAATCGCCCTCATGTTCAAGGCTGAGCGAGATTCCTTCCTACGGCCGGACCGCCATTGTTTGTCCACCAGGGTCCATGGACGCCCGCCTTTGGGCCATTGTGAATAGTGTGTGTTCAACGTTGTCTCTCCGGGGTTGATGCCCACCTGCCGAGAGCCCTCTTCCTTCCGGCCACAGTTTATACTCGAGCCGTTTTCTGCTACAAGAGCATGCTCTCGCCTGTCTGCACCCACGTCCTCCGGCGCAGAATAGTCGAGCCAGGAGAGGCAAACAGCCCTGAAAGTGAGAGCTACCCCAGGAGCCGTGGGCGGAGCCCCCAGAGCGATGAGAGGCCCGGTCCCTTCCAGAAGCGGTCCCTCGGCCGTCTCGGCACACGGCGTCCTTCCTGCCTGCCAGGTGAGGCGCATTTTCCTGTTGACACGGATCCTCGTTTCAGTACTAAATTAGGTTTCACTTTCCATTGGCTCCGTGTTCAGTGGTGTCTGGGAGGGAGCCTGGGCCAAAGCCACAGCTGCACGTGGATCTCACGGGAAGGTTCTCTGAAGTCGCCTCTGGCTTCTGTGCCGGGACCTGTGCACCGCTCTGCCAGCCGCAGGTCCCCAGGCCGCTCCCTGCGTCTGTGCTCCTCCCGCCACCGGAAGCCGCCCGCGTGACCCCGGCCTGTAGCGTTTGATCCCCATGATTTCGAGTCGAGAAAGCCAACCTCTCCAATTAGAGCGGCTTTCCAGACGTGCCAGCCCCCGGCTCCGACCGGAGCTGCCGCCCTGGGAGCCTCTCACCACAGTGCAGGGTCAGGGATGTCACGGGTGCCTGCGGGTGGAGTTCTTCGTTTTCTGTGCAGGTAACTTTACATCCAGCAGCTAGAGGGAGCTCTGCTTCTTGGTCCAGACATGTTCCTCTCCTAATGTATATATTTTAAAGTCTTACTAATGTTCTTGCCTCTGTGGGCAAGAGCCACCAGCTTCTCCTTCAAAACTGTGTCATCACCATCATCACCATCATCACTATCATCACCATCACCACCATCATCACCGTCATCATCACCACCATCATCACTATCACCATCACCACCATCATCATCATCATCACTATCATCACCATCACCATCACCTTCGCCATCATCATCATCACCATCACCATCATCATCATCATCACTATCATCACCATCACCATCACCTTCGCCATCATCACCATCACCATCACCATCATCACCATCACCACCACCTTCACCATCATCACCATCATCACCTTCACCATCACCACCATCACCACCATCACCATCATCACCTTCACCATCACTTGGGGAGACAGCTTGGGGAGCAGGGGAGTCTCCTCTGGCGCTGGGAATTTTGCACGACCCGAGCTGGGGGAGGCGGCTGGACCTGTCCCAGGTGCGGGTCTGTCTCGGGCAGGTGGGGGGTTGAGAACCCTGAGCTGGGCGTGGACGGCTGGGTTCTGTTTTCTCCTTATTCCAATTTGGCCACCAAATCGTTCTCAAGTGTTTTTTGGGGAATATGCAAAAAAAAAAAAAAGACATCTCAATGATAGACGCCTGTCTAATTTACCGTCTAAACACGACTGAAAGTTCACGCTCTGGAAATGGAAGAGAGGGAACTTTCCCACGGTGGCTGGGGGGGCCCAGGGGGAGCGGGTGGCCTATGTTCCTTACTGTTCATTTGCTGGTTGAGGAGCTCAGCTCACGGCATCCCCATAAACCACCCGCACCCTTCAATTACTGCGACGCTGGGATTAGACTCACAGCGAGCAGTGGGCTGGGAGCCCTCTCGTTGCTTTGAAGGTGGAGTGAACCACCAGAGGCGGTTAACCTAATCCCTTTCCCACCCAAACGTAAATACACAGCGTTTGACGCCACTGAGAACGGGCAGCCTTTCGGAACCTTGGGGGCCGCTTGCTGGGAATTGTGTAAACGGTGGGTTTGGGAACCTTCCTCTAAGGATATTTAAAACTCCGCAGTCCCACCAGCAGTTAGAAAAGGTCTCCGCTTAACGAGGAGTCGTGGGGAGAATAAACATCTGTGAGTCTGAGCTTGGGTTCCACGCGTTTACGTGACTCAGGACGATATTTCCCGACGTGACAAGGTTCGCTCAGCATCCGTTTCCTTGTTGATATTTTGATGTTGACATGGGCTCCCCAGGTCCTTGGACGTGGCGGTAGGAGCTGAGCTACAGGGCTGGGGGTTGCAACCGCCGTCCGAGCCGTCGGGGCCGGGCTCCCGTGGAACCCCCTCGCGGCTGTGGTGACATGTGGCGAGTTTTGGCCACGGCGCCTGGGACACGGTGGTTCTGAAAACCACGGTAATTATTGTTTCTGTCTCCAGGCAAAACCTGGCTTTTGTCTTGTTTTCAGCGTTTGCCTATGGATCCAGCAGGGGGCAGGCAGAGCCCACAAATGACTTGGCCGAGGCGTGAGGAGGGCCTGTGGCGGCCGGTCCTCTCCCCAGAGCGTCCCTGTCCAGCCTTCGCCTGGAGAGAAGGTTCCCACAATCTTAACGGGAAGAGCAGCCTGTACCCGAGGGGCGGCCCCAGGACGGGGCAGGGAGGCCCTGCAGAGCCTGCAATGACACGCGTGACAATATAACTGGGAACGTTACTGTATAAATAGAACCGAGAGCAGCTGGGCACCGGGGCCTGGGCGTTCTGAGGCTGCGGTCGTCCTCGCGTCCTGAGGGGGCGCCCAATGCATGGGGGGCGGGGGGTGCTGTCTCCTGCGGGCGGCTGGCTGCAGTCTGGTCTGTGGGGGGTGCAGAATGGGAGCTCGTGGTGGGTTCGTGCAGGACCGGCTTCCTGTCTCTGCTTCTCCTGAGGGTCAGGGTCCGTCTGTCCGTCTGTCCGTCTGTCCGCGGTTGGCAAGTTGCCTGCTTGGTTCTGACGCGATTGCACCGAACCTGCCGGTTGGCCGGGAAGAGCTGACACCTGACAAAGTACTGAGTCTCCATCCACAACCATGTCCCGTCTCTCATTCATTCATTCATTCATTCGTTCATTCATTCATTCATGCATTTATTCATTTATTTATTCATTTTTAAAATGTGTTTTTATTGATTTCAGAGAGGAAGGGAGAGGGAGGGAGAGAGAGAGAAACATCAGTGATGAGAGGAAGCATGGACCGGCTGCCTCCTGCATGCCCCCCACTGGGGATCGAGCCCGCAACCTGGGCCTGTGCCCTGGCCCAAATCGAACCCTGACCTCCTGGTTCCTCGGTCAATGCTTACCGCTGAGCCGCTGGCCAGCTGTGATCTTTATTAGCCGCCCCGAGTGCCTCTCCTTTTGTGACGCCCACATCCACGTGCTTTCACTTCCCGGTGCCCCGTCCGTTGCCGGAAGCGCTGACTTTCTACTGAAATTGCCTTCCACTGTCCAGCTGGTCACAGGGCCCAGCGAGGCCTCAGCTGCGATGCCGGGTGAGAAGGGGAACTTCAGAGGCTGGGTGGACGGCGGCTCTGGCGAGCCCAGGGAGGGCGGGAGGCCGGGGTGGCCCCATCTCAGTCTCATTCACGGGAGGTTTCCTCCCTCACCCTGTGACTCAGCGCCTGCGGCCCGGGAGGAGGCCCGAAGGTGACTTCACTGGGCCTCACCCTGACCGCTGTCCTGCTCCTGCCCCGCCCGGCGGGGACCCTCCCCCAGCCGTCATTTCTGGGAGGAAAACTGACTGATTCTGACCCCAGAGGACACAGCGTGCGGCATGCGGGCTGCGAGGCCACAGCCGGGGTGTCCGCCTGGTTAGGGAGCGGCCGGCCGACTGGCTGGTCCATGGACACGGAGCCGTACGGTTTGTGGTCCTTCGTGAGTGATGACACGTGAGCTCCTTTGGCGCCAGTAGAAACAGGAGGAAGAGTCAGGCTCTGCCATGGAAGCGATCGTTTTCCTGGGTTGGTTTTGTCTCATGTCGGCTGCTTCTGACGGAGGTGCCTTTAATCCCTCTCCATAGCAGTAACCGGTTAAACACAAACCAATCACTGCCCGGCCGGCGTGGCTCAGGGGGTGAGCATTGACCCAGGAACCAGGAGGTCACAGTTCGATCCCCCGTCAGGGCACAGGCCCGGGCTGTGGGCTCCATCCCCAGTGTGGGGCGTGCAGGAGGCAGCCGATCCGTGATTCTCTCTCATCATTGATGTCTCTATCTCTCTCCTTCACCCTTCCTCTCTGAAGTCAATAGAAATATTTTTAGAAATCAATCAATCAATCAATCAATCAACAATTACCTGCTGAGGTGGTATGACGATGGGTCCCTGAAGCAGGCACTGCCTTGCTGTCACTGCGACGCCGATCCAGGAATCGGAAGAGAGGCAGGCGGGACATTGGCGAAGGCAGGAGCCCCGTCCAGGGGCCAGTCTGAACGTGGGTGCTCACTCTGGGGGGCGGCCACGGGCAAGGGGTTAGCCTCTGAGCACAGACCAGGCGTGTGGCGTTCAGGTCCCTGCGTTGAGTGTCTGATACGTCCCAAGTGCAGGGCGGCCAGGACCCCGAGGGATAGCGCAGGGCAGTGCAAACGGGGTGCAACCACTGGCAGCTCCTCACGTCCCGTCTCCCCAGCCCTCTCCACAGGACAGAATGTCCCCTGTGCGGGGGGACGAGATGGGACGAGGCCTGGAGGCAAACCCAGGCCCTGCTTCCAGGGCCCCTGACATTGGTTGCTATGTCAGCCTCGTCAGGGCTGAATTGTGCCCCCCGATATTCAGATGCCGGAATGCTACCCCAGCACCTAGAGCCACCGTGTGTGAGGAGAGGGCTCTAGCAGGCGGTCAGAGGAGGGAGGTCATCGGGCGGCCCTAACACACAGGCCTCGTGCCTGCGGAACGGGGATCCGGACACGGAGACGCGTGGCGGGCAGACGGCGTCGACACACCAGGAGGCCTCGGAGGGGCAGGCCCGGCGCCCACGCGTCCATTTGCGATGAGCTGGGGCCCTTCTCTCCTTCACGTCGTTTCACACTTGCTGGTCACAATGTGGAAGACGTTCAGGAATGTTGGGCAGAGCGCTTCTGGGTGTGAGCCTGGACGGTACATGAACTCATCACGAGGCAAGAATGTCTGGTGAGCTCAGCAGGGCGGCCGGCGAGCCGCGGGGCGTTGCTGGGGCTGACCC